AAAGGTCAATGTCAAATGAATCTTTCCACGTTTTCTGTCAACCAAACTGAAGTTGTCAACATTGAGCTAGTTTAAGCTTAGGCTTATGTTCAGAGAAGCATGGTGCAATCAGACACGGTCCATTGAAGTATTGTCCCCATATAAGGCAATTATAAACTTGAACTGCGTACATGTAAACACACTGGTGATAACAGAAAGCACTGTGTTACTGTTGAACATCAAAGTAGCCACCTGCAATCCCTCATCGAGTATGTCATCAAAATAAAACGGATGTTTGTCATCTTGACAGTGTCAGCCTTCCTGCTAAATGATGGACAGAACCCACTCAATTAATCAAGTGAAGAATATATTCCTTTCATAAATTTTTGTTTTGAATAAATCACTATATTTATTAACCCACTATGGTCCTAATTGTTTTTCATTGTTTTACCTATTGTCATATGGCTGCTGTTGTTAAAGCATTGTTCTCTGCTTTTGTTCACAGAATCCACAGTTTGTGTTGATTTACCAGATAGTTATAAGATTGAGGAGAATATTGGTGAACTTCTGATACCGATAAAGCGTACTGGTGATCTTAGTAAAGAAATGATGGTCATCTGTTCTACTGTACCAGGTCAGCAGCTCATTTATAATGTAAATTTTATGCAAATGAGTATAGTGTCTTAATGCATTGTGGTTTTAATTATCAATTTACTATGATTACAGGCACTGCTTCTGGTACTGACCCATCACCTGTGTTATCTTACTCCGATTACATAAGCCGTCCCGAAGACCACACAAGTTTTGTTCGCTTTGACCGTGACCAAGCTGAAGCATTTTGTCGGATAGTTATCATCGATGATTCGCTGTACGAGGACGAGGAGACCTTCCAGGTGAAGCTGAGTATGGCGATGGGGGGCGTTATCTGTGGAAAATCCTCTACTGATGTGGTCATATTGCAAGATTCCGATGACGGTGAGTACATGAATAACACTAACACTTGATAAATCTTGTATCTTCCTTGTACATTTTAGCTTGCTTGACAGCTAACTTGTGTATTGGAAATATACAGCTACACTTCGGGGACTCAGAGCATGGGATATGATTTCATAATCAGGACTTTATATGTACTTCGTGACTTATATGTGCATTCCGACATTAATGCTTACAAGCTAGTATATTTCTGGACGTTGGTAGAAAAAATTAGACAACAACAGTGATTGATTGCCGAATATTAACATAACCTTTAAGGTAGTTTGAGCAATTGGCTATTCATCAAAATAGTTGGCTTTTATCAACTCAATCCTCTTACAGTGTGGAGTGACAGTTGTATTGTAACATTTACGGATGTACTGCTACGGTGTAATTGATTATCTCAGAATACAATTGTACTGTCCAGAGGGCATGTAAACTTCCATAAACATTAGCATTTGCAATTCTCAAAGATCTTATCGTATTCAAGTTTTCGGTTTATGTTTTACAGTCAGTTTTCAGACCTTGTCATGCACACCCTTGTGTGGCTCCAATTTGTAGCAATTCTTTGGTGCACCTGTACCTCAAGGCTAGCGTGGTTTTATCCATGCACATTTCATGCCTTTGAAACCAACTCCTTCTCCAGTATCGTACATCCCTACACATTATCGAGCCTGTAGGCACGCATATTTATGTAATCAATGGTCCTACTATATTCGATACTTCCTGTTGAAAGTTTTACAATTGTCTGGAAGTCACCTCCAGTGTGTGAAAAAGCAGCCACATATGTACTGTTATACCTACCGCTGTCGTTTATGGTACCTATACATTGGATCAATCCACTTTGTTTTTGTAGCTTACTGCTTAAAGGGTAGAACCACTTTCGTGCTTGTATACGCACGTAGATTTCTCTTCCTGAGCTCTTCTTCAATTGCGTTCATATCTTGTACACACACATGTATCATGGAACATATATATGCAAGTACAGTCTTATTGTATTTGGGTTTGAGATTGTCGAGATGCACTATAAAGACAAGCATTTTTGCCATATGAGACTGAGTCTTAGCATCCTTTTGAGATGTATGTCACATGTCTAGGCTGATATGCATTCACACTTTCTACATGTATATTACATAGATTAGACACATATGTGTATGTACATGCAATGATCTTACTGTGTCATGTCATGACTTAATAAAGTTAACGCACACTTCATTTCTAAAACTCGTCAACATGTCTGATTTATTTACAAAATTCTTAGCTGGTGTGCTTGGGTTAATAACCCGCTTCAGTATATCAACTCAGACCAGACCAGAGAAATGGTGATCATAGTAACAGCTGTTGGGGAGAAAAACAAACAGTGTTTTCATGAAGTAGTATGTTTTCTGCAATGGTTTAATTCATTTGAAAGCAATTTGTTTTGCCCATAAATGAGTCTAGACAAAGCTTGTACCATCGAAGGGGCAGGTGTTTCACCCCGTGTGGGAGCTGAACACTGTCTTGATAGATTGCCAAGCTGAGATTACCAATTTCTGTTCTTTTCCATTCCTGGATCATTGCTTACCTATTGTGTCGGCAGTGAAACAAATCATTCTACAAAGTGGTGTGTTGTGTTCTGATTAAAAGGAATTTCTCTTCTTGGGTTCCAAATTCGAGAAGTATATTGTGTGTTCTGTCTGAAGAACTCCAGTCCTGTTTAATGAAATGTGATCAGCGAGAGGCAAAAGGTGACTGTGGTTGTATTTCCCCTGCTGTTGCATGTGTCTGGAAGCTAATTCTTAAAAGCATGTCTAGTCTCCACCAGCTTCGATAAAGTTGCTTTATTCAGGATTTACTGGAATTT